TAGATAAATTAATTTAATTGATCCCAGTTGGGAAATTGTTGTGTCACAGCAGCAATTCAACATTCACAGAGAGTAAGACACAAAAGACAAGGTGCAAAATTTGACATGACTTAATATAAATATAACTAAATGTGGTAAAATGAGTATGAATATAATATAAACAAAATAAATATATAAATTGACAGTTATTGCAGCACTAATTACTAGTAAGTACTATCAGAGGTGGGAATTGCACATTCTTATTGCTGCAGGCAGGAAAGACTTCCTGTATCTGTGCTTGCGGCAGCAGAGTAGAACCAGTCTGTTAGAGAAGGTGCTCCACTGTCTGTCCACCAGGTGGTGGAGAGGGTGCTCTTGATAGTCCATGATGGATAAGAGCAGAAGCTTTGGAAGCAGTGAGGGTGTGTGGAAGTCTGGGAGTRTGGTGGGGAGGACAGATGAGGGCTGTGTACTGAACCTGTTGAAGAACAAATTTAGTTAATTTGCCCTCTCCAGGCTGCCTCCTGGCTGTCTGATGTTTAGCCTTGAACCCAGTAATTACCCTCATTCCAGACCACACATCCCTCACATTGTTCTGCTCGTGTTTGGCCTCCACTTTCCTCCTGTAGGAGTCTTTACACTCCTTCAGCTTTCCCCTCAGGTCGTGTTGTATGACCTTCTGTTCTTGTCTGTCCCCACACCTGAAGGCTTTCTTCTCCTTGTTGAGAAGCGCTTTCAGCTCAGTGGTGATCCAGGGCTTGTTGTTCAGAAAGCAGCGCACAGGCTGGCAAGCTGGTTTGTTCACAGAATTTAATGTATTCTGTTATGCACTCCGACATGCTGTTGATGTCCTCCCCATGTGGCTCACAGAGCACATCCCAGTCAGTGGACTCGAAGCAGTCCTGCAGTGCCTCAGTGGCCTCCTGAGTCCACCTCCTCACATTCCTTGTGGATGCAGGCTGTCGCTGGACAAGAGGGACATATTTCGTTGTCAGTAATACCAGGTTGTGGTCTGATCTGCCAAGTGAGGAGAGGGCACTGGCAATGTATGCATCCAGAGCATTTGCATACAGAAGGTCCAGTGTTTTATTGTCTCTTGTGGGGCAGTTAACATACTGGTGGATTGAAGGTAAAGTTTTGTCCAGTGTGACATGATTGAAGTCACCAGTGATGGCTATAAAAGCATTGGGATACTGAGTTTGAAGCCTTGCAACAGTGGAGTGAATGGTGTCGCTAGCTACAGTTGCATCAGCTGATGGAGGAATTTAAACAGCAACCGTGATGGCGGACGTAAACTCCCTCGGTAAATAATATGGGCGCATCCCCACTGCTAGCAGTTCAATGTCCGGGCAACAGAGACGCTCCTTCTGATTAATATGTCTGGGATTACGCCATCTTTCACTCACATATAGTGCAATCCCTCCTCCCTTCTTCTTATTGTTCTGTATAACGTCCCTGTCCGCCCGAACAGTAGTGAAGCCAGGTAACTCGGCGCTGTAGTCCGGGTAATCCAAATGCAGCCATGTCGCGGTGAAACACAACAAGCTGTACTCACAGTATTCCCTTTGGGTCTTAACCAGCACGCTGAGCTTGTCCATCTTATTCCCCAAGGATCTTACGTTTCCCATTATGACCGGAGGAACTGAAGGTTTTATGTTTCCTCCTCTTCAGTCTGCGCTTAGCTCCAGCTCTCCAACCCTAGGTGTCTCCTCTGTAGCTCCCTTGGAGTTTCAGATTTCTCGCCGGTCAGCAACATAAGTTTACTCAGCGCAATCAGCTGGTCACATGAGTAAACAATGCTCTCACTCCTCTCTGGGTGGCTCATCGAACAAAGAGTGTGGAAAGTAGCAGAAAAGGAAAAAAGTTTTAAAACAGCACGTAGCCATTGCAACTAAGTCCCCAGGACAATTATTGAGAAAAAAATAAAATAACAAAGTGACAAAAAGACGTAGAGTCAAGAACAAACAATGGAGCTGCAGTACCAGTCTGCCACCTAGCACGGCGCCATAAAGAAGAGCTTAACTTTAAACCTGTGAACCTGCTGGCGATGACATATGACATGTTTGAGAAGCAGAGACTTGTAGCCCAGGGACACCATTTTAATCTGGGAAATGATGAGTCCATACCAGGACAGCTCTTTAACCACTACTTCGTTTTTAATAAGCGGAGGAGCATTAGAGATTATGATCCGTTTTGCGGGACAAACTAGTGGGTAAACCGCAGTGAAGGTGTCATCGATCTTGACTCCTGATTCCACCACGTCCTGCAATTTATCCGGACTATCAAGGAAAATTACTATGGCTCCATTTACATGGGAAGCTAACTTGACGCTGCGGTAACCGACCACCTGTCCGACCACTTACCCTGTCTCCTCCACCGAGCAGCTCACTGCGAGCACCAGTTTGACTGCATGACGTACTGTAGCTAAGTGTTATATTAAGCAACACAGACGCTGAGCTATAGTTGGAGTACACCCCATTAATGCCACACACAAGACACTAACTCTCACGCACATGTGTGACTGCTGTAAACCTAAACAAACAGAATACAGCATCGTAACCATGACAACCCAAAGCAGCATTAACACCGTAATGCCCGACATAACAAGTCAGCTTCACCCACCACCGGCATGTTGCCCTACCATCGAGCAGGTAGCCTCGCTACCGAACCCAAAACCGCCCATAACGCCGATAGATTCCCGTGCTAGATTTGCTGTGAGATAAACAAATAAAGAGAGAAATAAATTAGGGCTGGGACTTTATTGCATTAATTATGATTAATTAATGACAGAAAAAATAACGCACCAAAAAAATAACACATTTAATCGCAATTTATTTTTGCACTCCAAACAGCGCGGCACGAGTTCCCTGTATACCTGTTATTCTGATGCACAGGACACAACACGAGAAACAACAATGGAATCCGATGAGAAGTTATTGCTGGGTTTGGTGGACGGAAATTTTAGTTTTAAAAAACTAACGGGTGGAAACCTGGATAAAAGCACAGTTGTGTGCAAACTGCAAGAAAGAATTTGCCTATCACCGGAGCTCTTCCAGCCTCCGCTACCACCTCAATGCCAAACATGTTGCAGCTAGCATAGGCAACGTTCCTAGTTCGAGTAGGCAGTGTCGCCAACCCACACTCGACAAGATGACAGGGTTCAGAGCCAAAATGAGTAAGTCCACGACTGACAAATTAACAAACTCACTGGCGAAATGGATTGCAGTGGACTGTCGAAGATCAGGGGCTAGAAGCGGTGCTACAGATCGCGTCGTCTGACCCAACCTATGAACTGCCATACAGAAAGACGATTTCAAACAAAATTCATCAGCTTTATGACACTGAAAAAGCAAGCGAAAGTTGATTTATTGGAGAAAGCTGAATGTGTTGCTGTGACTGGGGATCATTGGACCTCAATAAGCAATACAAATTATGTCGGTGTGACTGCACAAATTATTGACTTCACGGACAGGGCATGGCATCTTAAGTCTTTCGCCCTAACCGTGCAGAAGACGACCACAAGGCACTATGCTGAAAACTGCGTGGAGCAGTTTCTCTCTGTGGCAGAAGCCTGGGGAGTTCAACAAAAGGTCACCACAATTGGAACAGACAGCGCCCGAACCATGATCGCTGCAGCTAGACAGCTCCCATTTGTGCATATGCCATGTGTTGCTCACATTTTGCAAAGAACCATCACAGCACGATTATTATACAGATGTGCCTTGGACTGAGCTAATGGTGCTTGTGTAGTCCTGGTCTCTCTCTCTCCTTTCTCTCCCCCTCCCCACTATCTCTCTCTCTTCTGTCCCCTCTTTTCAACCCATCTCACCTCTCCTCCCTATTTTTCTCTGTCACCCCAACGAGGCAGATGACCACCCACATTGAGTCTGGTTCTAGAGGTTTCTCCCTGTTAATGAGGGAGTTTTTCCTCCACAGTCACCAAAGTGTTGCTCATTGTGGGAACTGTTGGGTTTCTCTATATTAAACAAGATTTTAAGGTATTAAAAAACCTTTAAACAGGGAAAAAGAACGTAGAAACCTCAGAGAGAGCCACATGTGAGGGATCCCTCTCACAGGATGGACAGAAGTACAATGGATGCCACATGTTATGGAGAACGTCAGAAAAATAAGAGTATTTACAGCATTGGTTATAATAAACTGTTTGTAGCATAATGGGAGGTAAATTAATTGAGGAATTATTGTCAATAATGGTTGAGTATCTGAGGAGACATATTGTATATGAAGCAGTCTTGTTTAATCATAGTCCACGATCAGCATCCACCTTGATCATGGTCCACCTCTACGATCAGACGCCAACACGATGCAAATGTGTGCAGATCCTTGCAACATGGGGCTGTGCATAATCATGCTGCAACATGAGGCGATAGCAGTGGATACATGGCATGACAATGGGCTTGAGGATCTCAATCACTGTTCCATTCTGTTGACTACATTGACATCAGCAAACCACTCCCCCATCCATTACCATACACATCTACCATCTGCCAGATACATTGTAAACTGGGATTTATCTGTGAAGAGGGCACTTTTCCCAAGTGCAACACTCCTTTGAAGATGTGCAAGTCAGTTAGAACAACATACTGCAGTCAGGTCAAGACTCCAGTGAGCCCAACAAGCACTCAGGTGAGGTTCCCTGAGACATTTCTGTCCATCTGTGCAGAAATTCTGTGATGTCTGGGTGGCTGATCTCAGATGATCTCTCAGAAGGATGTAGCATTCCTGGGCTAGCATGATAACATAGTGTTTTTGGTTGTGAGGATGGTTGGATGTACTGCCAAATTCTCTGAAATGGCATTGGAGGTGACTTATGGAATATTCAGTTATGGGCAACAGGTCTGGTAGACATTCCTGCAGTAAGTATGCCAACTGCATGCTCCCTCAAAAGTTGTGTCATTTCTTTGCATGAAAGAAGTGCACTTTTTAGAGTAGCATTCTATTGTGTCCACTTCAAGGTGCAACTGTGCAATAATCATGGTCTTTAATGAGAACATGTGACTTACCCTATATCCAGGGTCCTCTTTTAATCCTACAGTGTCAACTCCAGATCCAGACTGCCAGAGAGTCTCCTTCACACTGCAGCCATACAGGAACACATTCTTCTTTCTAGAGTGGCCGTGGTAGTCACAGAAAACCTGGAAGATGTATACAGGGAAAGAAACTGAGCTTTACAATGCAGCAGTTAATATCCACACAAATGTGTGGTATAATAAGCCAAGTGTGGACTTTGAAACAATGATTCAATTAAGTTTAATTTTATTTGTATAGCGCCAAAACATAATATACAATCTCCCTCAACTGGAAGAAACCACCAGCAGAACCAGACTCAATGTGGGCGGCCATCTGCCCACAGAAAAATGGGGAAGAGAGGAAGATTAGGTGGCAAAGAAGGCAGAGTTTCTGTCAGAGGTTTCTCTAAATGAGATCTCCAATAGTTTGCCATATGTTTGAAAGAGGTTTACATGTGTTAAGGTGAAAAAGAAGCCAGTGTTGTAATAAGAAGTTGGATGTATAGTGTAATCCACAGCCACCAGTGACAGGCATTAGCACCAGTTGTCCAGCAGGTGATGCAATGTGTGCAGCATATGTGCAGGGAAGCCTTGGGGGAGCATGTCAAACCTTGAGAATCTCTGTGTGCAAGACAAGAGCATATTCTTTCAGCAAGCAGGCATGTTGCTGTAAGCATGCTGCCTCATTTCCTGTTTTTATCTAGCCTGCAGTCTCTTTCCCTGTGTGTGTGTGTGTGAGAGTGTGATTGCCTGAATGGAGACAGGTGAGCCAGAGGGAGAGCCTCATTAGCTGCATTCCATCCAAAATCAAGACCATAAAGACTCAGCTCTGCTACACTCATCTTACCAGATTGTAGTGCCTGATCAGTCAGTCTGCGTTCCAGCTTTTCTCACTTGTTTTTTGCCAGTTTTCCCAATTAAACTATTATTCTCCTGTTCTGCAGTTTCTACTTCACCACCCTGCTCTCCAGCCATTGTCTGGGTTCACCTTCATAGCTGTACTAGTTTTCTTGTGGTCACCCTCTGTGTACTATCGCCTCTATTAATCCTGATCATTTCTACATTACTACGGCTGATCCCCAACCAAATGTACACTTAGCACTCTCTACTCTCTGGTATTTAAGCTTCTTCTTGTTATACTATTGCCAAGCTTCTCTGTGTTAACTCTCCTTAGAAAATTCATTAGTAACGGCTACTCTCCTCCCTATTATTCGACTGCTGTCAATTATTGTAGTTGTAAATTAGAAGTTGTAATTTAAGTTAATCTTTAATATCTAATGTGCAAAATGTATAATGGTTTTCCTTTTTATATGGGGATGAGGTTACTTCCTGTAAAGTCACATCCTGTTGTTACCCTGCTGCTGTAAAGAGACACATGGTTCATGTTCAATCTGTTTCCATTATCTTGGAATCATCTTAGAGGCAATGCTGTAAGTTCATGTATTTGATTGTAGACAAGTTGAAAATATATATTGGAGATTATTTTGTTAAAGATTACATTTTATGAGTCAAAAACAGCTTTATTTATAGTGCATGTACAATCTTATAGAAATGCAACTTTACAAAACAATGTTTAATTTTAGACAGCAAACATTTTTTATTTCCAGTTCTCGCCAGCATGTTAATGAATTATGTGCAACAGTAAATGGTGAAACTTACCTCGTCTTTATTGGCAAACAGTTTAACCTGGTGTGTAAGCGCATTTATTATTGTTTAGTCATTTGCACTGATTTGTGCTGATGTTGTGTTTAAGTATGCTTTTGAATTTTGAGCCATTTGTGTTGCCATAGACGTTTAATGCGGCTTACGTAGAGAAAGCAGGAAGTAAAGTTTTTTTGTTATGAACATGTGTTGAATAAACGAGAATATGGCGGAGCAACACAGTCGTTTAACTGTCTGTCGGCACCCAGCCAGCTCAATGAGTAAAACAGTCTCACGTCATTTCTCAAGAGTGGTTAAAAGAGTAAGAAATAAAGAAAGAAGAAAGGAAAGTAAGATAGCCACTACATGGTGTTCAGTGAGAGTTCCACCTTCACTACAGTGAAAAGGCAGCATTATGATGCTTTGAATTGGTCAAGCTGGCAACAAGCAGCAAGTCATCTGTCTCCAGTGGTATGAGGAGCAAGTCATCTGCATCATCGACAAGTGCATCCCATGCCCGGGCTAAAGCAGAGGCTGCCAAGGTAAAAGCATCTAATGCTAGCAAATAGGCTAAACTCCTGATGGAAAAGGCTACCAGATACTCAAAATCTGTTGGAAAAAGTAAGAATAGACACAGAGTTGGAAGTGCTTTCGCTACAAAGAGAAGCTGATATGTCCATGGTGGAGGCACAAGTGCTGGAAGATGCTGAAGCAATGCACACTGTAGTTGAAGATGGAAAATCTGAATCTGAAATGTTTGAACTGGAACACACCAGTGCAAATGTCCAGTCTCAAATGGGCCTTCAGCAGCGTCCTCCTTCTGCACCACTATCAGTCTTACCTGCCACTTCCATATCACACGGAGAATCATAGAGTTTCATAACATGCAGCCACCTGAGAATGATATTCCACAATTATAACCTATTAACAACAAGTTCAAATCTGAGAACTCTGACAATAAGGACTTACCTGCACCAAACCTACTGGATCCAACTGAAATAAAAAGAATAAACCCCCACCATTAATGCAATATGCTAGCTAGCACGACCCCGTTGGAGACTTTGGCACAGTATTTGCCATGTCGAGACCTTGTCAGCGAGGACTGTACCAATTTGATGATAAGCCTGAGAATCACTGTGCATGGTACTCCTCATTCACCAACGCAGCAAGTGAAGTTCACCTTGAAACAACCAAAGAATTGAACCTCATGACCAAATGCCTGGGAAAGGAATCTGGCCAGCATGTGAAACACATATGCAAGACCATAAACCCAATCTGGCTGTACAGAAGAAGGGTATAGGAAAATGGATATCTCACTGGCCTCATATCATATCATATCTGGACACCTCGTGGAATTGGATCAATCCTAGACATGCTTCCATATTGGCTTCAGGAGAAGTGGGTGTCTTCAGGGTCATGGTACAAAGAAGAAAACGATGGTCACTTCCCTCCCTTCTATTATTTTTGTGAGGGTTAAAAAGCGAAATGGTCCTAGCTAAATTTATCAGGGCAGCTTCACAATACACACAAAATCGGACAAATCCCCAGTGAGGAACTTTAACACCAACAAACCCATTTCAGTGCACTAAACAGATGTTTCTACACCCATTGATGACCCTAATAAGAACTGCTCATAAAAGAACAAACAACATCCTCTCAAAAAATGCAAAACATTCAGAAACAAACTCCTTGATGAAAAAAAGGCATTCCTTAAGGAGAAAGGCATATGTTTCAAATGTTGTTCTTAAATTGCCAATCACACACCTCGCCAAAGATTGCAAGTTCTTTACACTTGCAAGTGAAGTGCTAAGAATGCAACAGCAAGAGGTAAGATATGGCCATGCATCCTGGCCCATCACCTAAATCTGTTAAGGCTCCTTTCCCGTCACAGGAAAATGGCAGAGAGGGAGTAGATCATTCCGAAATTGCTATTTTTAGAACAAGCTGTACGGAAGTTCCTAGGTCCAGGTCAGTTGAGTTGAATCTGCCTCGCCGAGATATACCATGGGTGTTCGAAGGACATGGCCATCAAAGCCTACATGTATATAAATCTGGATGAACAGAGCTATCACTCATTAGCCAGAACAGAGTTGTTGTGGCATAATTAAAATATCTGGCAAGAAGTAGGAAGGATTCCTGATTGAGTCACTTGATAGCAAAGTTCACATTGCCCTGCCACCACTCATTGATTGTCATGAGATCCTGAACAACTGATCTGATATTCTAACACCAAGCACAGTCCTACACTAGCCTCATCTCCATCACGTTGTCAAACACATCTCAGATCTAGACCCAGAAGCAGAAATATTCTTCCTACTCGAAAGTGGTCGTCATTAAATTTCTCAACCCTGTACAAGCTAAATGCATGTCAAGGAGACAAACCAAAGTGTCTTCAGGTCTGACAATCCATCAGAGGTTGATGCCCTTCTACAGCCCTGTCCAGCTCTGCTCGTGGAAAGGCCAGTCTCCTGGTATCGCCTTCATGTTCTTTACAGTAGAATGTGCATGGAGACACAAAAAACCTCCAACCTCACATATAGATGTGCCATCCTTGAGGAGTTGGAGTAACTTTACAACCTGATTCGGCTGCAGGTACAACACCTGTTGTCACTTTCATTTGCACCAAAGCAGGTGAAGTTGAAGTTGTGCTTCCTCAATTGACTTGGTGTTATAGTGACGATAAAGTGTTGCCTTAATTTTGTTGAGCAGTGTATGAATGTGACCTGCATTGTAGAGCGCTGATGATGTTGTCAAAGTTGTTATATAAAAACAGTCCTTTTACCATTTCCTTCATTGATAGACAAACTTCTAAAGGTTCCAGAAGATACCCCAGCACTTCTAAAGAAAAACATATCAACACACATTTTTGCTTTTTTAGTCTGAAACTTAAAGACTATTAAATTGTGTAACTACATGTTTAATAAAGATATGCATAATAACTGAAAAAAATGTTTTCTGCAAAGTAACATGAGATTTTCACCCAAAGAAAAAACAAGTTGATCTCAAGAAAACTCAACATCAAAGGCAAGTACATTCAGATAACTAGTTTACAAACGGACAGCCTGTATTTCTCACCAGTGGAGTCCGCCCTATACTGTTGAGGTAGTAGAGGAAGCCTTTTGTGTGGTAGATGGTTGGACTGAGGATGGGGTCTGGTTTACACCACTGACGATTCAGATCTTTACTGTTAAGATCACAGCGATTCCTGAGAGGACAGAGCAGAAGAGACACCAGTGAGCCCACAAATTATAATGTTGATTATTTGGTGGGTTATCTTCTGTTACATGTTGTATATGACTAAAGATCCAGAAATCATGAAATTAAATTGAAAACATAACAATGGAGATTAATTGAAAACCAAATGACCTTAATTTCTTTAAATTCTAGTCTGAAAACAAGAAAAGTCTTCAGTTAATCCAAAATGCTAATGAGCAAGTACAGACAGGAGCTGGAAAAGGTCATATTATTCCTGTGGTAGCACCCTTTTAAGGTTAGGCATCTAACCTAATTTTATTTGTGTAGACCATATTCATAAATCACAATTTGCCTCATAGGGCTCAACAAGGTGTGACATCTCCTGTTTTTTACCCATTCGCAAGAGTAAGAACTGATAGGAAATAACTATTGTAATCTTTATTTCTTATTGTTAGTGTTCTTTTATAATATGTATTGATTTTACCAAAATCCCTCAGCAGTTTTACTGTTTCCGTGTTTTTTTTTTTATTTGAGCTCTTATTGTGAAGGTTTGCAGATGTACTTAGTTTCTGACTCTCGTCAGTCTGCACTGTACTTGACTGCAAGATAAATGTATTTAAGATTTTGGCGATTGTAAAGTGAGATTTTTAAGTTTGAATGTTGAATTAAGGGTAACAAAATCATCATAATATTATAATAATTATAATTATCAGTAAGGTCACTGTTTAGTTTTCTGTTGGGCATTTCAGTTGTAAGTGAGATTTTAAAATACTTTTTGAGAGAGTGAGATAAGAGCGTGCACTGTCACAGCATTTCATCTTCTCATGTGTTGCATGCTCTAGTTTCCCTCTCATGTTAGGCATGTTATGAAGATAAAATCCATGTGACATTGTTTTGCTCTCTTTGGTTACAATACATGTATGTATTCATCGTAGGTTAGGGTTAGTAAGTAAGTTTATTATGTTAATTGATAATACGTGATAGCTAAAAGCTGTGGGCGCCTGCAAAGAAAGAAATTAGAAAAGATTTGTGTGACAGGTATTCTGTTTTGTTATCAATCAGACAAATATATGTCCAAATTATTTATTTCATGTTTAATGGTGGTTATGTAGGCTGAGCCTAATCAATTGTGTAATATAACTTAATGTAACAACGTTTGTTATTCATTTATATTTATTTACTTATTCATGTGACAGCATTTTGCTTCCCTTGGTTACACTACAGGAAAAAACCTGAGTTCAACAAGGTATCCCTGTGCCCAGCATCTGACAGTGCGGTCGAAACCCACAGACCGTTCTGGCTACACTGGAACACACACACACACACACACACACACACACACACACACACACACACCAATGTGCGCAGACACAAACACTGTCATTGGACAGGTGTAAACTCAGACTGGGTAAGAACAACAGGATTTGTTAACTTAGGCAATGTGGGAGGGGAAGGGGCAATGCACTAGACTGGTATAAATCATATTTATCAGATAGATTTCAATTTGTTAACATCAAAAATTACCCCTCCATGCACATACAAGTTAGTCATGGAGTTCCACAAGGTTCTGTCCTTGGACTGAAAACCGAAAACTTCTAAATTCAGACAAAACTGAGGTCGTTGTAATTGGCTCTAAACATCTCAGAGCATCACTGTCTGAACAGATAGTTACTTTGGATGGTGTCAGTTTGGCCTCCAGCTCCACTGTGAGGAACCTTGGAATTATGTTTGACCAGGACATGTCATTTGACCAACACATAAAACAAGTCTCTTGTACAGCTTTCTTCCACCTGCGCAATATTAAGAAAATTAGAAACATCCTGTCTCAGAAGGATGCTGAGAAACTAGTTTGTTACCTCCAGACTAGATTACTGTAACTCTTTATTATCAGGATGTACCAAGAAGTCTGTAAAAAGTTTCCAGTTGGTCCAAAATGCTGCAGCACGAGTGCTGACAGGAACTAGAAGGATAGATCATATTACTCCTGTCTTAGCTTCTCTACATTGGCTCCCTGTAAAATTCGGAATAGAATTCAAGATCCTGCTCCTCACATTTAAAGCCATTAAAAATCAAGCCCCTTCATATATCAAAGACCTGATAACACCATATTATCCAAATAGATCACTTCGTTCACAAAACACAGGCTCTCTTGTGGTTCCAAGAGTCTGTAAGAGTAGARCAGGAGGTAGAACATTTAGCTACCAGGCTCCTCTCCTGTGGAACCAGCTCCCACTCTGGGTTCCAGAGTCTGTAAGAGTAGAACAGGAGGTAGAACCTTCAGCTACCAGGCTCCTCTCCTGTGGAACCAGCTCCCACTCTGGGTTCTGGAGGCAGACACCATCTCTGCATTTAAATTTAAACTTAAAACGTTCCTTTTTGATAAAGCCTATAGTTAGTTCTGGATCAGGTGAGTTCTGAACCATCCCTTAGTTTTTCTGCTATAGGTCTAGACTGCTGGGGGAACTGCCATCATCCACTGAGCACCTCTCCACTTCTCTCTGTATCTCTGCCCCCCCACATTCATTTATTTATTTATTTTAATACATGTCAATGATTATTTCACTTTGTACTCCCATAGTCTCTCTCTCTCTCTCTCTTTTTTCTTTCTCATTTCAGATATCTCTGACCCCGTAACCTCAGGACAACAACTTCTCCTATTACTAATTACAATATCGCAGTATTTCATTATGATATCAAATGTGTCTGTTATCCATAATAATTAATAGTCTTTACACTGTTGTTCACTTTTTAACTAATCAGATCTGATACCTGATGGCGCTCAAGTGCCCCTGGTCTTTCTGCCCCCTTCCCCCCCCCCCCCCCACTATCCTTCTCTCTTCTCTCCCCTCTTTTCCATCCATCTCTCATCTCCTTTCCCCGTTTTCTTTGTTCACCCCAACCGGTCGAGGCAGATGACCGCCCACATTGAGTCTGGTTCTAGAGGTTTCTCCCTGTTAATGAGGGAGTTTTTTCTCTTCACAGTCGCCAAAGTGCTGCTCATTGTGGGAACTGTTGGGTTTCTCTATATTTAGATTATAAGGTCCTGACCTTCTATATAAAGTGCCTTGAGATGATGTATATTATGATTTGGCGCTAAACAAATAAAATTGAATTGAATTAATGGAGTAGCAAGAAACCCTGCCAAAGCTGTAATCATGGTAGGGAGGTTGAGGATTTTGTTTGATTAGATGTCAACAGCATACAGGTTGATTTTGGTGGTGGTATGAATAGTTTTTTTGTCTTAAGGCTGAGGTGAGTTGTTCTTTGAAAAGTTCAAAAAGTAATGATGACAATGGGTATTCTTGTCTAGTACCTTTGTATAGGTTGAAAGATCAGAATCAGATCAGAATCAGAAGTACTTTATCAATCCCCGTAGGGAAATTCAAATCTTGACATAAGTCCATTGGTGATTAAAGATACTGTGGATGTGTTAATTAGAATCTTAATCCAATTGGCGAAGTTTGGGCCAAAGACAAAATGGTTGAGGAAAGTGAAGGGAAGAGGCCAGTCTGACCTGTCCAATGCATTTTCAGCATCCAGAGTCAAGACAATGGCGGGATGTTTGATATTTGTATCTGATTTGACTTTATGCATATGAGTTATGTTCAATAATCTTTGCATGCTTTCTGCCTTCAATGAAACGATGTTAGTGATAAAATGACAAATCAATAATATTAAAACTAGCAATGTGAGCGGACATTTGTGTTTCTGAGGAGCAGAGCTAAGTGAACTTCATGGGGCAAAAGCCTAGCTAAGGGTGGATGAAAGGCTGGTTTTGTGTGGCAGGGCTTAGGTAGTGATAGCTGGGATCTTGCTTTTCAATTGGTTGAACCTCCTGCAGGTGAAGACTCCTTGAGATACCACTTGCTCACCAGGGTCAGGAGTATAAAGGCATGAGGAGGAGATGCTGCCAGTTCCATTGACTTCGCTTTTGTTATAGGAGATTTGTTTATTTTGCTTTTTCATGGTTTTGCCGTGATCTACTTTACTTATGTGTTCAAATGCTGGGCTCCTTTTCCCTGGTTTAGGTTTTATTGTACTCCCCTTATCCTTTGAACTTCTCAGGGATGTAATAGAAATTATTTTACTCAATAATAATTGAAGCAACTCTGATCCAATCTAGTATTTGCCATCAGTAAGTCAGTGTTGTGTCCCAGACTTGGGCTTAATAATGTACTTATGTGTATCAAACAACACTCATCTCCCTTTACTGTATGCATTGTACACAGAAATAGTTTTCTTATCCAACTCACGTGCCATTGATGACTCCATCCGGGTTGAGCATTGGGATGATCTTGAAGACAAAGGCTTCCCTCAGACTCTGAGCTACCAGGTCATTGCTGCACAGAAATTCAAGGGTTCCCTTCATAACCCAGCTGGCATTGGACTCACCAGGATGGACACGGCTTGTCAACACGATACAGGGACGATTACCTTGAGGGAGGAAGATCATTTCATCATCATCATTTACCTTTTAGCATTACGTATGCTATGTGGAGAATTAGAGTCCAAAGAGTAGTATGTGAAGACTGGCTCATTCACCAAGATAATCACAGAGCTCGTCTAAACACAGCCACATCCTGCCAATCTCTGTATTGTAAGCTGGTAGTTGTCTTCATTTCCATTGGTCTGTGTAAATTATCGACTCAGGTTAACATCAAGATCAGTGGAACTCTCAATTTTGTTTTTCTAAATCTCAACGTTTGCGTGAGAGGTGGCACACACATGAAATGGGGTCTGAAAGATGTGTATGTAAAACTTATGAATGAGGCCCCAAAAGAGCCAACAACAAACTTTTAGTTTAGGGCTAAGCTGCCTTGATGATAGCACTTCTTTGTGAATGGCACATTGCACATTTGGCAAGACCCTCTTGGTTAGTGCCTGCAGTCCTTTCTTTTTCCCTGCTGTGGTCTGTGCCTCTTCCTTTGCAAAAACCCACACAGTTCTCCCATTTCAGCCCATGTTCTGTCAGGTAAATGTGAAGAAGCCCCACGAGCTCATCAGCTGTCACTCTTTCTTTGACATATTTGCAAAACAGCAACAATCTTCACTCAGTGACTCAGATGTGACAAATGTAACATTACAGATAAATCAGACTTTTCCCTCCCAATCTGTCTCTGTCTCTCCCTTTTTGCAGGTATCTCTAACACAGTGAACTCAAGATCAAGAAAAACACCTGACTTCTGACTTGTGTTTTGGCTGATTACCAGCATTCTTATTTGTCTCTGAAAAACATCACCTGTTTTTCTTTTGGTTCCTGGTTTGGTTAAATATCTCTATCCTGGAAAAAACTACTGAATGAGCATCACTGCGGATTTGAAAGCACCTATTTATTGTTCAGCTGTCAAATACATTCTGTTATCAAAATATTAGTTGTGTGTAATAACAGCTACAGTTTGGGAGAATTATGTTAGTGTACTGTGGATATGCCGTGATGAATATCATATATTGTTTTAAGGTCTTGACCTTTAAATGTAAAGTGCCTTGAGATAATGTAAATTATGAATTGGCGCTATATAAATAAAATTGAATTGAAAATTGAATTGAATATATGGTTTACTCTTTAACAAATGATTTCTTCATATTGCTAGTGATCATAAGTATACCCAAAAATAATGTGATACGTGATATATGTCTCTCTCAGCAGACCTCTGTTTTCTTGCTGTTATTTCTGTCCCATCCTAAATGCTCACTTTAGAGAACAATGACTTCCTGGAGATTGAGCCTAACCCCCTAACCACCTTAATCACATAAACCTCCCTCCATTTTAACACATTTATTTCCATACAAAAGGAGGTTATATACACAAATGCCATTCTCACAAACACCCAATCAATCCCTATGAAATGGCCACTCTGACCCTTTTTCTTCCAGCTCATCACTCTCTCTCTCCCTTTCTCACACCCACACACCCATGTGCATGCACACACACACACAAACACACAGCAGAACTCACGTAGCTGGTGCATGTCTTTGCAGGCTCTGCTGGCAGGACTTGCGGTGATGGTGACCACTGGACAGAAGTTTCCAGCCAAAGTGGTACAAAGAATCTGCTGCCGGAAAAACACAATGGCAGGGTCTACAGATTTTTGCAGCACATTCAGATGAGCCTGAAAGAAACAATAAATATACACATATGAGGACATGTACAGTAGGTTCTGATGTATAAATGTGTTTACCCCTGTCCCATTTTCAGACATGTGCAAAGGATCTCCAGAGAATTGGGTCGAGACTTTCTCCGCAATTTGCCTTTCACACATGCACAATGCAGCAGGAGGTTCTTTGCTCAGACATGTTCACAACAGAAACAAATTCTCTGCAGGATTCAGGTGAGGAATGGTGAAGCTGCGGATATCACATGATTATATTTACAGCAGATCAACAACTTTGTTGGCTCTTATCACCACAAACTCTCTTGACACCTTTTTTGGTGTCTTCTACATGTGTGGGTCATTGTTTTTCATCCTGAGATATGTTTTTTCTTTTGGGTGTTAGAAGAATCATCAACCCCCCACTCGCTTGTGATGGATCCAGCGGGGATCAGAAAAAAAATTTTTCTTCATCATCAGTGCTTTCCATATTACATTTGCATACAACCAGATTTTGTAGAAATGTATCTTGAAGACATATACACATGTATTATTTAAACAATTAAGCATTGACTATTTAAATGAAGCTTAAACTGCAAAATACCAATATACATGTATATACCAATAATAAAATAAAATAAGTAAAATAAATGTTGATGTCTGGGCCTGTAAGATTAGTGGCTTATCCAGCTATCTTCTTGAGGTCCCTAGAAAAATATCTCACTGCTATTGTTCTGTATTGATGACTGTTTGCCCACATCACCCATTGAACTGAGCCCATCACCATGGTTCCACAAGTTCCATTTATTCTACTTTGTACTAGTTCAGGGAGCCACCATGTTCCACCAAATTTGCCCCACACACAAACACAACACAAACAATTATAGGTATGGGGTCTGAAACAGCTTTTTGTGGTATGAACAATTAATACCATCACATATGCAGTCATTTTGTTTGTACATACATTGCTTGATTTTAAAAATAAATCTTTATTGTTTTTTATTTCACGTGATTTGGATGTGTGCCTGTACATATAGTCCTATGCATATTTGAAATCTTGACAGGTTGTTTCTTCTGACGATCCTTGCAAAAAATAAGTTCCGTTTATTTTAGACACCCATGTTCACCTTCCACCGCCAAACCCACGGACACACACTTTTTACACATTCACATGCCTGCAACTAGAGCGTGTAAGTATGATATGAACTGCAGCTTTAAGTGAGTCCCAATGGGGAGGTCACACCCTCAACAATACTACACAGATCAATGAACTCTAAACAGTATAGAGGATATTTTACCGAATGTACGAGGCCCATACACAAAGCGGGCACTGACTATCATGCCACTTCAAGCAACAACATAAATTATCATACTAAAGCCGAGACTCCACAGCTTCCAGTGGTATATCTCTACAGCCAAAACTCACTGAACCAGCAGCTGAAGAAAAGAAAAGATATATAGCAACATATGACTTATCTGTGTTGTTTTGACACAATAAGTTTTGTTTTAATCAACACCAGTACCGCAGTTGCATGAAACTGAAAGCTGCTAACCCATGACGACAGCTGATTGGCATGACAAAGAGGATTTGGTTTCAAAATACTTTAAAAAAAGTTCTTGTTGGGTAAACTAGCCAACAACAGACACAGTACTCCTGGCTAGGGGTGGTTTTCTCTAGGCACCCCTTGATTCTATTCGATTCTGAGGGCTACGATTCCAATATGCGACGATTATTGATGCGTCTCAATGCATCAAAGAGGCTCATGATCATCCAGTCAGTCCTGGTCAGTACGAAGTAAAAAAGCCTCCTGGATGAGGTGAAACGTCTTCAACAAACACAAGCAAAGTGCACATATACAACTCCTAAAGATACTATGAACTGCATGACTTTTGTCTAATCTTTGCTCAAAGGTTTAGTGTGTAAAATGTATTGATATCTAGAGGTGAAGTTTCATGTTGCAGCTGAATACTCCTCATCTCACCCTCACCTGTGGTGAACTTCAGTTGTCATAAAACTCAAAAGGTTTTAGTTTGTCCAGTTTGGATACATAAGATACATAAGACAACGACAAGGGGCCGAAAAATAAAAAAAAAATAAACAGCTGAAAATAATACATTTAATCATCTGCACAGATGGATGGGTGCGTGGATGGATGAGTGATTACCTTCATGGCAGAGTATGTGTAAGGATAATGGTAGGCCAGGTAGCAGACATCTTCGTTGTGTTTGAAGGTGATGGTAAAGGTCAGAGTATAAAAGTTTGTTCTACTTCTTCCTTGAGCTGGACAAAAGTGGTTTCTTGAGGAGAAAGTGGAGGAAATAAAAATCAATAATGTAAGTTAAATTATGTACAGTTGTTGTAAAATAACTGAGGTGATCACGTTCTGGCCCTTAGGTTTAAAGTCTTTACAAAATCATATTTTTCAATAGTCCCTCGGAATGGTCTGATGAAGTCATGCACGTGTGTTTGGATCATTAACATCACCTAAAATAAAAGGTAGAAGTAGTATTTAGTCTGTCAATGAAGGCACAAAAAAAAAGATCTCTTCTTTTTGGGTAAATCTGTGTATTTAATTCATACCTGAAATAACAAATTTCAGTTCCAGTCCTGGTCCAGTGTGGTCTACCTTCCAGAGCTTCCCTTACTGAGTACAGCACTGGCTGCATTCCTACAATACCCATACACAGAGACACACGGACACACACCGAGAGAGAGAGAGAGAGAGAGAGAGAGGGAGAGAGAGAGAGAGAGAGAGGTCTGATGAGGCTGTAGCAGTGTGTGTTCACTCAGTCTATGCTGGGTCTCTATTATGTAAGAATTTACAAAAGGGAATTGATGTATGTATGTACTTAAGTTTACTTAAAGTGAGTACACAGCATGGACAAATGCCACATATCACATCAAGCCTGCCCCAGTATTGTCTTCTAGATAAATACAGTACATCATATCACACTAGTCTCTCCAGTGGGTTGGAAATGATTGTTTGATTCCTATTAATAACAATGATGATACAGATCTCAGCTGGTTATAGCCATAACAATTAGCTGAACAGTTTAACTTTCTCTGGTTCTCGTACCACAGTGGCAACAACCCACTCCATGACAGATTCTCCTGAAGTATGCTTCAGCTTTGTGTCTAATGAAAGCTGCCTAGTGGCCACCAAACTGTTAGGCACCTTCTGCTAGCCAAAATGTATTGTGATTTATTACAGAATTATATAGAATTATATACACTATATTGCCAAAAGTATTGGGTCACCTGCCTTGACTTGCATATGAACTTAAGTGACATCCCATTCTTAATCCATAGGGTTTAATATGACGTCGGTCCACCCTGCAGGCCAGTCAAGTTCATCCACACCAAACCCTCTCATCCATGTCTTTATGGATCTTGCTTTGTGCACTGGTGCACAGTCATGCTGGAACAGGAAGGGGCCATCCCCAAACTGAACACTATTAATAT